ATATATAAACAGTATTAAACAAATTTAACAATATTTTGAAACATTCTTTGTTTTGAAGTTTTTAATGATACTATTTTTGCGACCAAAAAAATTAATTATACAAAACAGTACTTTATTTTTTAGACGATAAATTTGATCCATTTTTGTCGAAAAGAAATTAGGTTAAAGTAAAAGCGTTGAAGGCAATTAAGTTGCTTGCTCAATTGTAAAAAATTACTTTCAACCCTTTTATAATCTTTTGTTGTTTAATCAATTTTTTTTTAGATTGTCACATTTCTACGCTTTTTTTGTTGTCATTACGTGATTATTTATCGCCTTTTAACAATGTAACATCCAAACGCTTTTTTATTTTAAGAAGCCATTAGGAGATTTGTATAGTCTATTTCACTAATAAACCACGTTTTTAGCTTATCTATCGCTTATAAATCGCCAAAATTACTTACTTTTTGCTGGCCGATTTAAGTCAAAGTCTTTGAAAAGGATTTCTAAACAGGAGTATTAAGCCACATTATCAAACTTGCTTTTTTTTTTAATATTTCAAAATGTTTTTGTGGGTATTTTTTAATTTGTGTATTAAACTTTTATGTCTTTATTCTTTTAAAATGCGTTTTCCATAATAAATTAAAAACAGATGGTAACGAAACCTTTTATCTTGTTCTTAATAATTTCTATAACTTGTATGTGATTCCCTCACCCTCCCATATCTGCCGTTCTAGTTAATAAAATCCTCCTAACCATTTCCTCCACTTCCGTTTTATTTCCTCGTCTCCTAATTCATTTCCCACCTCCGTTTCTTCGTAGCTTAGCACGACTTAAACCTTGTAAATCAAGAAGTAACCATTTGGTCGGCCATCAAATCGAGGCCAGGTTGCCTGTATAAGACTTAATCTAGCCGACGAGGGCGTGTATATAAACTCTGAGCAAGGTTAAACTACGATCCTATTCTTGAGTCGTTGTTTTATCGCGTATAAGTCACGTGCTTGCTTTTCTTTATTACGTATAATCCATCTCAAGACTTTAAAAGAGACGTGCCTCAGCAATGACTCAATTATTAGGGTCGAAATAGCAAAGATACGATATAAAAACTAATGCCCGGTTGCACAAAAGATAACGGATAGTTAACAAAGCTTTAAACATTCATCAAAAATTTTGTTGAAATCAAAACACCGTTAACGGTTGATTAACGTTTCATCAAAAATTTGATGATTATCAACGATAATGGTCCGTTAATGGTCCATCACCACTGTTTTCCGTTGCACAAACAAAAATGTCACTGTTAACTATTCATTAACGACTCATCAGCTTAATGACTGAACCGCGGGCGATTAATCGGTGATTAAATCATATGTCAAATTTTTTCTTGACGTTTTAAGGCGTTTTTAGTGAGTTGTTATTAAATATCTAAAGGATGAGACAGTAATAAGGATTAAAAAGTTGTAGAAAACATTGAAATGACTTTATTATTTGAAAAATGTTGTGGGACACATCCTCATCTTCATCAAGCGAGAGTGATTACGAAGAACCTGAAAGGCCTGTACGGAGAATTCGTTTCATCCGAGACCGTGAAAATCCATTTGAGATGTTGGATGAATATGACTTTAAAAAAAGGTTTCGCTTAAATAAAGCTACTGTTACTTATCTAGTACACACAATTGGAGATAGAGTCGCACCTAAGACGCAGCGGAACAAATCCTTGAGTGCACAAACCCAATTTTTAATTGCCCTCCGATTTTATGCAACGGGTGGCTTTTTGGAACTCGTCGGCGATTGGATGCACGTTCACAAATCCAGCATCTGCAGAATTATCCAAAAAGTCACACGCGAAATTGCTCGACTCTCTCAAGAACATATTAAGATGCCGAGGACCGTTGAGGAGTTGGTAGCAACCAAAAGAAATTTTTTTCAAATTGCTGGTTTTCTTTGTGTTGTGGGTACTGTGGATTGTACCCATGTTGGCATCCAATCGCCTGGTGGTGCAAATGCAGAACTGTACCGAAATCGAAAAGGGTACTTTAGTATTAACGTCCAGGCCGTTTGCGACGCCAATTTGAAATTATTACACATCGTTTCTCGATGGCCGGGATCGGTACACGACAGTACGATTTTTAATAATTCGCCTCTTCCTGTCGACTTTTGAATGGGGAGATATGGTAATGGGTATCTATTGGGTGACGGTGGATATCCTTGCCAACAATACCTCCTCACTCCATTTCGTAATCCAGCTAACGCAAGCCAAGAGGCTTATAATCGAGCTCATATCTCTACTAGAAACTGCATAGGAAGATTTTTTGGAGTTTTGAAACGTCGTTTTCCATCATTGAAATATGGGTTTCGATTAAAAATTAATACTATACTTGAAGTAATTGTTGCCTGTGGAGTTGATGATGATATAGAAGAATATTTTGATGAGATTATAGAACATGATGAGGAGGAAAATGTTATTTATCAAGAACATAACATAAATAATGTTAACTTTGCAGTAAGGAATTCTCTGGTCGAAACTATTTTCGCCAGATAAAAAAACACATATTTATTTTTGCATTTTTTTAATTTCTAATTTAACTTTCTCTATTTCATAATTTAATAAAATTTGTTTCTTTTTTTCGGTTTTAATTTTTCCCTGATAATATAGATCTTTATAATTTAATTTTTGTTTTTTTCGGGGTTTCAAAATTTTACGTCTTGGCAGGGTAGGAACAGGTTTAGGACAAGGTTCTGGGTTTGCAGAGCAGGGAAAGTTGGAGGAAGGTTCATAGCGGGCAAGGTCAGTGGAACGTCCAGAGAGAGCAAGTTCGGGAATTGGAGTTTGCGGCTTCTCAAATATTTCGATATCATCTATTAAGACAAAAAAATCACAAATTATTTTTGTTTTATTAATATTTAAGCGTGTATATTACTGAAATATTCAGCCGCACTGTCATAAGCATTATCTAAGGGCTCCACTTGTTCCCGTATTGTGGCCAGGAGTATTTCTTGTTCGGAGGTCCAAGGTGGAACTGCCTCCGCCAGTCTTCATTATTTCTTTCTTTTAATTATTATTAATTTTTTTTATAATTTTTATAAATATAATTTGTTACAAAAAAAAAAGAAAGACTGTGGTGTAATGTAAATTTGTGTCATGTAATTACCTTGTCGTGAGCAGCGACCTTCCTCGCTTCGCCCTCCTTTACTCTGGCTTCATATTGTTCTTGCTTAAATATATATTTGTCAAATGTAGCATGTGTTTTTTATAAAATTCTTACGTGTTCCTGAGCCACCCTTTTACGAGTTTCCCGCTTTATATTTTCGTAAAAGATTTTTAATTGCTTGACCGACCTAGTACCTGATTCAGCCAAGCAATTAAATTCTTCTACAATTGCTTCCCACGCAACTGCCTTTTTCTGCACCGCCCACGCCTTGGTGCATTTATCTTCAATAACTTCTTTATATCTAAAGGATGAGACAAGGATTAAGGAGTTGAAATGTCGAAAATATTGAGCTTATTTTAGTGGAAAATGGGAAAAAACTGAGGTAACGAGTACAAAGTGAATAACATTAATTGGAATAGTAAAATGTTGAAGTCTCTTGGTGTATTCTTGGTGTTGGTTTCTCTAGAACAAATTTGATAAAAACTTACTTCGCTACCACCGAAAGGAATATATTCTTTTCATTGTGGGTATAATTTACCCGTTTCGACGACATCCTGCTTCGGACTTAGAACCAGAACACAAGACACTACCACCAGAACACAAGACACAAAGACAATGACACAAAAATTGTCAAAATGTCAAATTAAAGAAATACGGCGTTGTTGTCATATCGGATGTGTAATTAAACGATCATCATATGATGAATCATTATACCATGTGCAAATTGTTTTGTGCAACGCAATCAAAGTTAACAAACCATCAAATTTTGATGAACCATTATCTAATGATCGATTGATGGGAGTTTTGTGCAACCGGGCATAAGACAACAAATGAACAAGAGTTCAGGCAAATGTCAAACAAATTTTTGTGTCATTTGTGTCAAAATGTTTGCATTCAACTTGAAAAATGTGTTAATTGTGTTTTTGTGGATTGACTACTTGTGGGTGCAGTATTTGCGTGCTAGACAAGTAATTTAACACAATTGTTAATTACAAATAAATTTGCAATAATTTTTTAGCACAAGAAAGTGAAAATTTCAAATGGGCTTTCAAAAGAATGCAATGAGGCACTACCGAAAGAATCATTTGATAAATGCAAAGCCCAAGCCCTTCAACGCAATCGACTCGCTTTTGTCAAAGACTTTGTCTCAATTATTACAACCACGACAGTCATCCAAAGCAAAATTTTACCAAAGATATGGGACGAAACCGACCCATTGGGTGAACTAGATGAAATTACCAGGAGTTGCATGTGGTATTTTTTCTTCACCACTTTTCTCGCATTCATCAATTTGCCCTTTACAATATACGACAGTGTGATTTTTGAATCGAACCAAAACCCGGAATTTCTCATTTGGAAACAGCTCAAAAATTTTGTAGTTGGACAGGTTTTCGCTGTGATGCTTTGCTCACTTCTTGTCACGATTATCAAGAACGGAGATGAGGTTTTTATCAGTGTTTGGATACTTTTTTGCTTAGTTGTGTTTATTGTGGGAGTTAGCTACCCTCAAATGGCTCCTTCAAAATACCGTCATTTGTCTCCACTCAAACCCGGAAATTTGAGAAACGAGATCACTAATCTAGCCGTGACTTTAGATTTTCCTCTAAAAGAAATCTATATTGAGGAGAGATTCAGTAACAAATCTTGTTCAAATATTTATTTTTACGGTCGTCCTCACCAAAAATCAATTGTTATTTTGAACACACTTATCCTGAAAGAACACGGAATTGGGTGTACCAACAATCAAATTCTTGCTTTAGTTTCTTTCGAATTTGCCCGTTGGCATTTTAAAGAATCGTTCAAATACGTCATGGTTCTCGAAGCTAATCTTTTATTGTCCTTTCTCGCTTTTTTCGTCTTGTTCAAGCACCCTCAAATATACGAAATTTTTGGTTTTGTGAATTTTCACCCTGTTCTTGTGGGTGTTTATGTGGTTTTGAAATACGTGATGGTGCCTTACGCTTCGTTGCTGAGTTTTGGGTTTATGTGGGTTTCGAGAAGGTTTGTAATGCAAAATGATGAATTTGTGGCCAAGTTGGGGAAAGGAAAAGCGCTAATTGAAGCTTTGATTCGAGTGGAGGAAAATAATGGAAAATTTCCGGTTTGTGATCGGTTGTATTCCATGTGGCATAATGAGAAGCCGTGTTTAATGGAAAGAATTGAAGCAATTGAAAGGATAGAAGAGGAGAAATTTGAGTGATGTTTTGAAATTTTGCACTAAATAAAATAGAAATTTTAGTGAAATTCTTATTTTATTTGTGATATTTACAAAATATTAAAAAAAAATGATACAAATTACTGGGAAAATAAGAAAACAGCAAAAAAAATTACGATAATTTTAATTTCGTAATTACAAAATTATAAACTTTTCAAGATTTTTACAGTTTTTTTTGAGAAAGGATTTTGTAGAATACAGTTCTCATAAGATGTAAAACAAGGTAGAGTAAGAGCTAAATTTTTATTTAACTGTGTTTTTCTCGAAATTCCACGTAGAATTCACTTTTTACAAAAGCTTTCTTTATAATTTCAAAACAGTAAAAATCAAGCGACAATAAAAACAAACTTACAACTACTTGTCAAAGTTTAACACCATAAATAAGTAAACTACAATATGATAAGCTTTTCAAGTACTTTTGTGTTAACCACTAATGACAATTTTTGAATACATTCTTAACATAATTTCCAAACGATTGTTTGATATCTAATTAGGGTGTTGTTTCTTTGCGAGCTATAAAAATTCCGATGTTCCCTAATTTCCGTAATTACACTCCATGACTAATTATAAATTAGAATTCAAATCGGGTCTGGGTCACCTTTAGGTCTTCCATTTCCGTCCCACAATCATTCCTATCTCGAATTCTTCTAACGTCTCTGTGTTTCATTAAACTTTATTTTTTCGGTCCCTTTCAGCCGAATACATTAACTTCCGGTTTTAAAATTGGAAGTTTCGTGCTCGTTGCAATTAAACCAGAGCAAAAAACAAGTGTACTAGAACGGAAATGTTTGTATTTTTTAAGCAAACATAAGGAAATTTACGTCGAGTGGTATGCAAATAGTCGAAATATAAATATGCCATTGCGGAGATTAAACGAACAAGGAATGAGACATTTATGTAAATTTGTTCTCAGTCTAGCAACTATTTAAATATTTGGGAAGTTGAAAGATTATTAACACGGAGTAAAACGGATGATTTAATTGGAGAACTTGATCACAAACGATGCGATTCATGCTCGCTTTTAATCCACCCGAAAGTTGTGTTTTTCTTTAAATCAAATCCCCGTATTTTGACACATTTCAAGTAATCGAGCCTCGTCTCGAAAATGTTTTAATGACGATCCTTTTGAAAGTCGGACTACATTCAACCATCTGAAATCATAATCGAGTTTGTCATTTCGGAATTAGGCACAATTGAAATTTTAATGAATTCACTTTCGGATTCTTCCCTTCTTTCTCGCATTAATTTTTAACGCAAAGCTCTCCAAATTTCTTTTAGTGAAAACGTGTAGTTTACATGAATAATTGAAAACATGGCGATTTACGCAAGTACGAAATATCCAAGCTCGTGAAGAGCTTTTCAAGGCTTTTAACGCAGATTTTCATTTTTGTAAGACGTTACAATTGTAAGGATCTGAAACGAATTAATTGGGCGGAGCTTTTTCAAGCGGAAGTAGAGGGGCGGGGTTGCTTGACCGCTTTTAGGGGATTTTCCAAATGACCATAGTTTAGTTACAAAAACATAAAATTAAAAGAAACAAATTTTTGTATCTTACTAAAACGTGATAGCTCCAACGCTTTCAACCCGTGTAAAAATTAATTAACTATCTCTTTCGTCTAAAATAGCAATTGTTTTTGGAGAGGGGACCAGGGAGCAATTTTGTTAAACACTATAGCGGAAAATATCAAACTTTAGACAATAAACGATGATGAAAAATGAAAATTCAATTCAATTTTTACTGCCACGGACAGGGTATTTTCGTAAATTAATATTATTTAGGACAAAAGTCCATAAAAATAAGAATTTTAAAAAACTAACCAAGAGTGCGTTGAATTTCAATCATTCAGTCTGACACTTCTGACAGATAGTATGAGTTCTACACGTGGGACGAGCGGCTGTCCCAACGACTACTTTTGCGAATCCGAGAGGATTTGCTCGATTTAACTAGTCAATCATCTATCCTTGATCACATAGTAGTTTTCTACTATACATGGTGGAAACTCAAAGTGACTAGAGTTTCAAGCATAAAATAATTACTTAATTTATCGCCCACTTTTTTTCCTTTATCTTTGGGTTGAAGCATTGAAAAGTTATTCAATTTTTTTTTAATTAATTCTAAAAATCTTGCTACAAGTTTTAATATCAATGACAAGAATATAAAATTTCACGAACTTTTTCTATGATATATTTTTTATGTATAAGTATTTTAGTGCAACAGCATTTTTTAAATTCAAAGTGTATAAACAAAAAAATTAAACGTAGAATATTTTGCTTAAAGTAGGACTATTTCTAAATTGTCAACGGTCAAGTAGTTTCTGTGGAAGTCTCTACAAAGACATTTTGCCTTTATCAGAGTAAATGTTTCGTTAAATTCAGCTTCTGAACAAGCTTGTCGTCTATAAAATAGGTACGTGTGATGGTCTTGCTTTGAGCTATTAAATACAGACAATTTTCTTAATTCCTTTGAATAAATTTGAGACATCGGGAAGGAATCGTGCTCTTTCCTCTCTTAACCTGTGTTTTTTGTGAAATCCTTCTCGAACAATATCTATCTAATAAAATTTAATTGCTTCGAGTTGAGTCCTTTTGCGGTTTCGTTCTCCAATTTACACATGCCGTGAAAGTCCTGAAATTGCAATTAGTACAAGTTTTAATTAAAAATTTTATACTCCTCCTTTCTGAAAAACTGTCGACACAACTTTGAAATAAATTACTAATTAAAAAAATTGTTTATTTTTTAAAAAAATGCCACTGACAGGAGAGAGAAATACGCGCATCTAGGCGAAAAATCCCTTAACAAGGCAATCGATTTGAGTAAAAAAAATCACCAGACTGTTATTAATTTCCATCTGTCGTCTCATATTCCGCTAATTAAGTGGCTTTGGAGGTCGTGTTGTTGAATTGCGTTAGGGATAGAAATACTCCCACGGTGAATTTACGAGCCAACATTCTGAAAAATCAACGATAAACACGTTCATTAAAATTTTCGTCGTTCAAAAATTTTGTTCAATTAAATTTAATTTAACATCTCTTCTCGATCGCTTTTGAGTCAGTAAACAAACAAATTTGCATTTTTACCAAACATGATTAAAATATGTACGTTTTGTGTTGAGTGCAGTTTACATTTTGTGTTAGTATCATTAAAAGTATTGATCGTTTTCATTTGAATACAACCGATGTTTACTAAATAAATATACTAAACAAATCCAAATTTACTTTCAAATTAGGGAGAGTTTGTCTTAATGTATACAGAATGCTAAAAGGAACATTTGTTTCACTGTTCTAATAACTGAAAAATAACAAACAAGCTGAAACACTGTACACTTAAAAGAGCAAACATAATGGTTTATTGTTCAAATTTCAAAATTCTGTGTATTTATTGAAATAATTCCGGCAAAAATTGTTGCTTCTAATTAAATTAATAATTTTATAAACAGTGCACAGTTTATTGCCAATTATGGATAAATATGGGGTGATTTTAATCGTTGTGGAAGTGATGATCCTGGTCTAAAAAAATTGTCCAAAAATCTTCGACAAGAAAATGTTGTGCAAAATCTTACCTCTTTATTTTTAATATGATGACACTTTTTCCTGTATTTGTTTTTGGTACTTTAACGTATTTTTTAAACAATGTAGTAAATATTAAAGAACTACCTTCAAAGATTATATTTATTTACAGTTTTTGTTGGTAAAGTTTAAGACTGCGTGCCAAATTTAAATTTAGTTGTCTACGGTATGAGTTTACAAGAAAAAAAAATTTTTTGATTTTACCCCATAATTCCAAAGAAATAACATTTATTGCGTTTTCTGAAACAAGAAAATCTAAAATTAAAACTTCATTATTAACTTATTGGAAAGAAAAGTTGATTTTTCTCTGCGTTTTAAATTCAATCACAATGGCGGTTTTATTTTTTTGACGCTTTTCTTTCCACTGAGTCAGAATAATGAAGTTTTAATTACAATTTCCTCGTTTCAGGTTAAGCAAAAATTTTTATTCGTTTTAAATTTTGCCTAGAATTGATAAATAAAAATATTATTTAACATTCAATATTAATTGTAGCACCAATGCTTATCAATATCTGAGCATTGTTGATACTATGGCAACCATAGTAATTCCACCACGGATCACTTATCCGTTGATTTATCCAGAGATTGTAAAAAAGTTGAAGAATAATAGATTCAGTTTAACACAATTATTATTAAGTGATATTTCTTCCACCTCTTGTGCAACTGTGCACTTTTTGGCTACTGAAACAATTTGGCTACAGAAACAATAGTAATTACTTTTCTTAATGTTTAACGTTAAATATTTTTTTAGTTATTGATTATAAACACCTAAAATTAAATAATTTTAGAAAAAACAATTTAATAATCTTTTAAATGCTGAATATAGGGTGTTCCATTAAATTTTTTTAAGTTATTGAAGTTTTAACAAACGACTTTATTTTTTGTTGCAAATGCAACACACTAAAAAAATGTTACAACCTTATAGCTTGCACCTTCTTCTTAGTAGTAAAAAAAAATCTAGATGTCTTAGTTTTTGCGTAATAAATTTTTAAAAAGTGCATGTTTTCGTCAAAAAAACCCTCTTCTTTTTAAAACTAAGCAAAATCGATCAATAAAAGTTAAAAACGCTAAGAAACATATGATGTTTCATTTAAGAAAACACAAGTTTGTATTGTAACTTATTTTTGAGAAACGCTGTATAGTTGAAAATAATTTTAGGCGATGGACTAGATTAGTATCTATTAATGTCCAATATAATTTGTTTTTTCAATTTTACCATTTAAAGGTCACTAATAGACTTTTTCAATTTGCTAGGACATCCTGTACATCTCAGATACTATAAACTTTCAAAGAAAGTTATTTGAGTTATGTTCACATCTTTTGATTTCTACTGTCTTCTAAAAATTTTCTACAACCTTTAAAATCACCCTGTATAAGCTTAATCAAAACTTTGGAATAAAAGTTGTATTTTGGCGACAAATTTAGAAAAAAAAAGGTCGATTGTATTTTTTAATTGTCTTTAAAATTTGTGACTCTCAATACAGTTTAAAAATACGACACCCACACACTCGATAATTTTGTAAATAAAATACAACTTTTTTGTTTTTGAGACCCCACTTATGGGATCTAGTACACGCAAAAAAAACTTTTTAGTTATGACAACAAAAGAAGAACATTTTATTTAAAAAAGGTAATTAAAAAAAAGCAACGTGTTACTGAAGATTACTGAAATCGTTTGTGTTAATATTGTTACTTCTCTTAATTTATTTGATTTCATAAATTTAGGTAAGATCATTTGTAATAAATGTTAAGAAATAATATCATTAAGGTAGCTATCAACCTAAGCAATAGTTGAATAATAGTTTTGTCGATAGTAAAATTGATTTATGTCGGATAAACCTAATCTTTTATAATGGCTTAGTTTTCTATTTCGTCAAATTGTGTATGAGCGTAGTTTTCATTAGGTGATTTATTCAATTCACATTATTGGTAATCAATGCGTTTAATGACCCAGGCAGTTCCTCCTTTCATACTTTAAAAACCACAAGCGCAAAGAAAATTCGCTTGGGCAAAAACACGTCTGCCTCGGCACATCCCGTTTGAAATCCATCCAGCCATTTAGCATTGTCCACAACACAAAGTATCTCAACTTTTTTAAATATGAAAAAAGTTTGTTCGTTATTCCTTTCTCTCGCTTCCTCCAGAAACAAGACACGAAAACAAAACATTTTTTGCCTTCCTTGATGCTACTAATTAACCATTCCGACTGAGGGAATCTTGTGTTTCGGGAATTTTGTTTAGATAAGCGCGACGCCGACGTCAAATTGAGTTATTTGTCTCGAGTCATATTCTACCTGTTTGAATTTATATAATTCCGCGGGAATGCTTAAAGTTTTACTCCCCTTTTCCTTATAAATATGAATATTACCGTCGAGCCTTACCTCTTAAGTAAGAATTCATGAATAATTAAGGTTAAACTTGTATAAACTGTTTAAAGTTTGCTGTTAATGCGAACACCCAAGACTGAAGAGGCTTGCCAACTACTTGACGCTAATTGCGTTACATATTCGCTGTTTTCTGCCAAATACGCATTGTCACCAACTATTACACTAACTAATTACGCCACCACATCTGTTCGATATTTGCTTGATTAAACTAAACGCTATTAGCCTTTATTTATCCTAATACGAAAATATGACCAAGAAAAAAAACTTAAATTAATAATTTTTAAGGTATGTGCAAGCATTTTAACAGGTAGGTAGTAAAGAAGTCAGAATAACTAAACTTGTCTTATCCGAATGGTTATAGTTTCTGAGATATACAAGAATAGAGAGTGCAACCAAAAAATTGTCAAAAAAATGCAATTTAAGCCAAGTTTGAATCTTTTGAGTACTTTATTACACAGTTTACATCTTTAGTAGTCGGGAACATTTGAGGTAAAGCTATTTTCAACAAAAAAATTGTTGCAAAATTTTTACCGTTCCATGATTTTTTTATATGGGGCCACTTTTTCTGTGCCATCATATTTGTTTACAATTTGAGTTAATAAAGCAAAAAGTTCCGCCTCAAATTTATTTTTTTATTAGACGAACAAATCCTCTGTATCTTAAAAACTATGAATATTCGGATAAGACAAGTTGAGTTATTTGGATTTCTTTTGAACTCAACTATTACCTCCTAAAATATTTGCACAAATTTAAAAATCCTTCTGTATAAGCAAAAATTATTATAATTGAGATATCTGATTCTAAAAGTCATAAAGTGGTAAACAATTACCATTTTTCGTTTTCTATTGCTCTGTATATGACATTAAACAACATTAGAAAACATTATTATTTACAAACGTCTACCAAAACGTCTGCTGTAAACAAGAGAAGCAACTCTCGTATTTGCAAAATACTTGACTACTTCTGATTTCTAATCAACGCAAATTAAAATACATGAACAAAATAGCTTAATGTGACTCTGACTCTGTTCTATGTCTTTATTTTGATACAAGTTCTAAATATGTCTTTTGTTTTGTGTTTTAAAGACTAAAAAAATACTGAAAAATAACAATTTTATTTTAAAGATGAAGCTACTAACTTTTTTTAATTATAAAAATGTTAAGGTGACCAACCGTCCTGATTTAGCCACGACATGTTTAGGTTTCTATTGACTTGTCCTGTCTTACGTTTATGTCCTTATTTGTCCCGATTTAAGGACCAATACACCTAAGTGAGATTTGAGATTTCCATTTGCAGCAAAAACAAAGTATCTTTCAAGTTTTCTTTTTGTCGTCATTTCAAATGTGCTCATTGTGAAAAAACTCAACTAAAAGTAGAAATACTTAAAATTGCTTATAATGACCAAACTAACTTTTAATTTGGCTTAAATATTTTTTTTAATGATTGTAGAGAATGAAAGAACTCTCAAAGCAATTCATGCCAAAAAAAATCAAATTAACACAATACATTAAATTAATATGTTAATTATTGCATTAGGGTCCAAAACCTGTTTTTTGTTTGTTATGTCAGTATTTTGCATCTTATGTGTATTTCTTATTAGTTATTACATTTAAGTGTTTGTACAGATACATATTTTTTTTGAGTTTTGGAATAAATTTATTAGAATTATTTCTAATAACGTCCTGATTTAACGTCCAAATTTTTTGAATTTGTTCACCTTAAAAAATGTTAATAAAAAACAACAAATTTTGAAATTCCCTTAAGTTTTGTAAGTTTAATCGATTTTTCAGTAACAATTTTTTTAGATTAAAAATTTGTCGATGTACGAAACAGTTTTAAAACTTTAACAATTACCAATGAAAAAAAATGACATTTTTTCAGAACATTAGGCTTGACGCACTATGTAAATAGAACCGGAAAACCGGTTTAGGTCACATAATGCCTTTTTCTCATGGTGCGTCCACTCTAGTTTCTTTGTCAAACAGATTTTGTAAAAAAACCTTTTATTTCTTAATATTAAATGTAAAATACATCAATTTAGTACCAAACTTTGATTCAAAATGTCATTCATTCTTTAAAATTCCAAACAATCTTTTTTTGAAATAAAAGTTTGATTTTTATTGAAATTGATTGTTGAAAACAATGAGAATGGTAGTAACTTGACAAAATGTAAAATAAATAAATGAGAAAGAAAAACACGATTAAACCCGTGAGTATAAAACCTGAGGTGACCACTTTGTGGTTGAAATGCGTCGTTTGTTTGAAATAAAAGTTTGGTGTGATGGGTATAATTGTGTCTTTGTTTATCGTTTCCATATCAAGAAGACCCAATAAGAAGTAAATAAATGATATAGAAATAAAAAAAACGCGAAAACTTAAAGCAAAATCAACATTTCTTTAAAAAAATGCAAAAGGAAAATATTTATTGTTTTAATGTAACTTTTTTATTTTATTTTAGAGTAAGTAAATAAAAAATTATTTATCTGGTCATAGAGATTATAAAATTTTGACGTTCTGATTACTAAATTTTCTTTAAGAATGGTGGCTTTGTCTTCAAAACGTCAGAAGTAAAACGTAATAAAACGAAGGTAAACATTAGAAAAAAATGTGTTCATAAAATGATAGCAAAGAAAGATTGCTAGCAAGCACGATACGAGAATAATAATGTTCCCTCCATTGATTACCTTAGAAAAAAATTCGTTATGAGTTAAAACAAATATCAGAGAAAACGTTTTCCAGTTTTTGATTTTCCTACAATTTGTGACTTGTATTTTATTTATATCGCTTTTTTATCATCCATTCCCTTATAGAAATGTGGATTTAGTCTCAAACTTCCAAAGAAGAAAATTTCAAACTTTTTTCATATCGAGTTAAAAAATCGCAAACTTTTATCACAGACACCGGACGCATTTTCGCATCTCCAGAAAAGCGGAAAATAAAACTTAGTTTTTTTATACTTGGTGTACGAACCTATTCTTTCGTAGCTTTCTCGTCCTGCAGCCACAACCACGATCAATCCTTGCAAAAAAACCCACCACATGGTCACAATTTCACACACCACACACTCTTCAAATATTTTGAGTTGGAGTGTTTTTAGTTCAAAACCACTCGCGTACTTGTCATTATTTGAGGTGTCGAACGTAAGAGGCGCGTTTTGGACGTCATCAGAGCGTCGCCGGCGTCGACTATCAACTGAGATCGGACGTCGGAATCATCGTCGAAACAAGCGTCGCGACGCCGCACTAGACGCGAACCAAATTTTAGCAATGATTTACTTACAGTTTCGTAATATTTTAATCAATTAGCGAAAAGTATCAAAATATATAACCCGGCGCACCCACCATTTTTACATCGGTTGTGTGCAAGTTGGTGGAGGCGCCGGGTTATAAAACTACCATATTTTATTTTTTATTTAGATAATTTTACTTTTGTGTAGCCACAGTACGGTTAGATGCAATATAAATGTAACTTAATTTAAAATGCTGGAGTGCAATGCAACCGAAATGAGCGAAGTCGTAGCGTTGCAGCTGTTATATTTTTCCGGACGCCATTCTACATATTATTGCACTGAAAAATGGAAACTATGGTAAATGCAAACTTATGATACGTCAAGGAAATTACGATGTTGTAAACCATTTCAAATATTATTGTCGAAATAATGATACACAAATAAATGTTAATGTAGCAGAAAATGTGGAGAACAGTGTCGAGTATTTCATAACATTGTATGAAAGTCGATTAAAAATTTTTAAAAAATTTCATTTTTTTTATTGAATTTTGAATTTTGAGATAGATTTTTTTTATTTTGCCGTAAGTACTTGCAATTTTCTCTGCGGTGCGATTTTTGAAAGACTATATTTTTTTACTATATTTTTCTGTACGTTTGTTTATTTAAAAATAAACCAAATATTTTAATATTTGGAATTCACAAAATATATTTTTTTAACCTTTAAAAAAGAACCTAGAAAAGATTTGCGACAGTTTAGTAATAGAAAAAATTGGTAATATATAATTTGTTAGCGAAGTTGATATTTTTTATAGTAAACAACTTAACAATTTTCCAATTTGTTGTTAGACAAAAAGAAATTACTACAAAATGTTTTCCTGAAACGTTTTGCAACAATTGGTTTTCGTAAATGAAAATAAATTATTCACCGGTATAAAGCTTGTTAAATAATTAAATGATTAAACTAATATTATACTAATATGTTTTATGATTAAATAATAACCGACTTTTGTTATTTTATTTAATAGTATATTATCTCACAAGTGCTCTAAACGCCACTTTAGATGTGAGTTTTATTAGGCACGAGTCAAACGCAGCGAACCCAGAATTTAATAAAACAAATGCCTAGAGAAGTTTATACACGTGTTACATACTATACTTTTTCTTCGACTACAAAAAAAATATTTAAATTAAAAATTAAAGTCACGGCTTATCGAGACTGTCGGCTGTTCCTTCTAAACTACACATTAAAAGTATTGGGAGTTCGAATAATCATATTTTTTTGATTTCCATAGCAACCTATGCGAAAACGTGTGGTTAGTAATAAATTTTCTAAACAAAAAGTCACCATAACTTGAAAATTATTAAATTTAGGTATACGGAATGTTAATACAGATCAATGCAGAATTAAATTCTCTTCTATTTAGTAAAATAAAAATTGGGGAGTATTTCATTTGGAAAAATTGAGTTATGGGTATTTGAAGTATTACAAAAGTAATCTTAAAATTATGGAATTTGTTAATTTTTTTTTCAAAATTTGAAAACAAGAGAAGAAAGATTTAAGCTTTCTCTTTCAAACCCCAAGAAAACGAATTGACGATTTTAAAAAATGGCAGAGCTACCAATTTTTAAATTGAAAGGTGCAGATCCAAATTTTTTTTAAAAACTCCAAATATTTCAAAAGCGGTTAAATTTAGGTATAGAAAAGGCTCATGAGAACTTTCTTAAAATAATCCGATTAATCCAAACACCCACTAAAATATATACTTATTCTGAATAAGTAATTAAATATGTATTTGTAGCAATAAATGAAGCTTTGATTATAAAATTATTAAAAATTTGCTTTGAATAAATACCGAAAGGTAAGCAAAATATTAAAACATAAATAAATATAACATAAAATTTTAACAATTTTATAATTTTTTTCAATTGTGTGTTACATATTATTATCATTTAATTTTATGGGCACTTTTTAATTTTTTCCGCACTTGAACATTAAATAACTTTCACAACTAAAAACGGTTAAAAAAAGTACAAATTTTTTGACATAATTGATAAAAAGATATTGCACTTTATTCTATTAAAATAAGGAAAAATTGTAATTATTTTTCAAATTTAATTAAAATTATAACTAATTATGATTTCTTATAATAATGTACTGTGTTTTTATTTGTTAATTTGTTAAAGCCATTAAATAAAGTTTTATACATTTAACGTTTTCAATTACATTAAAAAAATTTATTATTCATTTAATGGATGAAATTAAGAAAACAACTTAAATAATATCCTAGACTTAATTAAAAAAAGCGGGTAGAAAATTTTGGCAAATATTTTGTTTTCAATCAGCCTTATAATAAAATGTCTTTGAAATATAATAATAAAAATAACGTTCCAAATTAAGAAAGAAAAACAGTCCAGCCTTGAATACAATAAAAAGCTTTTTGGTTCTCTCTGGTCTATTAAGTTAATTGAAGGCCTTTCTCGCTGGATCGATGCCAGTTCAAATATTTACAAACATTTTTAAGCGAGTGTTCACAACGAGTTTTGTAATTGTTCCATGACATGTAAAAATGCATTAAATAATAACCAAATATACAAAAAAAAACACGTTTTGATGCATATAATTCACGATTCACTGCCACTTTCCAACACAGCTTAAAATATTTTATATTTTTCGAAAAATGGTAGGTATCTAATCTGGAACAAGGGTTATGACTGTTGTACGTCATAAAATCTCAGTAATGTGAAAGTTTGCGTGGGTTTTACTTTGCAAGTTTACCTCATACACGCCAAACCAACATCAACATGAAGTGTTCAAAAAGCTCGTTTAATTTTATTGATTCGTCGCAGGAAAAGTTTTGTAAAACTCGACAAACGAGTTGTTAAAATTCTCCTTGTAGCAAAATTGCTTTTTATCTATTCATCAGTCGCGACATTCGGTTGCGGGAAACAACACAACACTGAAAGAAGTAATTCATGAAGGATGTCTCTTTCAATATTGTAACGTCAAAAGCGGAAAAACGCGACGCAAACATCCATGCAATTGCGCCGTTGAAAAGAATTCCAATGAGAGTCGTTCGATTCTCTTAAATTTTTTTCTTACATGTATTGTATTTTCGGGTGCTTCAATCTATTTACACATATTTTCCATTTTGTTGATGGTAAGTGGCATTTCCGGTTTCAGCCGACCTTCCGACCTCAATATCCGTTCAATGTGATACTTACAGACCCTCGTCAGTTTCATTTTCACTTTATCATGAAAATCGTTCAACACTATAAATAATAGAATAAGCTTTGTAAACGGGATTAACACGTCCGGATGGGAATTGGGATGCAGTTGCTTTGGTTTACAGTGAAATTAGATAGTTCTTTACAGGGACTACCTTTGATGATTGTGTGGGAGGCTTTTGAATGCCATTTTAGGAGATATGTGCCAATAACAAAGTTGCCAGAAGCTAATTAGAGAAATTTATTAGACAGAGAGCATTCGAAGAGGTCTTTTGAAGTGATTTAATTTATTTTAGAAGCTGAATAGCTTACATCGGATGATTTTTACTATTCATAAGCCTTTGAGCTCATAGAGAAATGAATTTTATCGTTGATATTTATTTTGTTGTTCACAAGCTTAAAAACACGCTTCATAAAATATCAAAAAGCATTTGCAATGTTTCTGTAATTATTGGTCAATTTGGTTGTTTTTACTAAAAAACCTTGCACATTTTGTAAAAACTGTTAGTAGTAATATATTCTTTCTAATTATTGAATTTTTATTCATTGGAAATACAAAGAAGTTTAAATTTTTGTCAAACTATTTATTTGATTTGTGACTTAAATATAAAAAGTAGTTTATTGCTGTTAAATTCATCAAGCTTGAAATTAAATTAGGCAGTACTAAATTTTTTATAACGTTAAAGTTAACCAAAAATTAAACAAGTTTGTTTAATTTAGTGCAACAGATATTGATAAAAATATAGAGATGTTACTTAAAATCTTTTATTGAAACATTATTTCAAGTTAGTTTATTTCTAAGATGTATATAAATTTACTGCAACGCAACGTAAATAGGAAAAATTTATTAAAAATCTTTAACAATAAATGTTACAGTAGCTAAAAAATGCCAGAGGTGACTGTAAATATTTATGATTTTTGCCGTTGATAAAATTTTTAATTCATTGTTAAAATTATTAATTTCTTCCGTTAACGTCACAAAAGTGACCTCTTTTATTATTAAATGTTTCAAATAAAAATTTTACAGACATAAAGTAAAAATGCTATTTTTTTGCTTAATGACATTATTGACATTTATCAAAGTAGTTACTTTCTTGGCTCTTCCATTGCGTCAGCAATTTCTAAAGAGATTCATTGAACATCAACATTAAACATTTTGCACTACTAACTGTACTAGTTAAATTAATAAACACTTTCTAAAATCTTTCTAAAATAAAACACAAACTCCGATACTGACACGTGATGTAAGCGTTGTTATGATTTCATTACTTGCAAAGCATCATTCATTGCTTGTTAATTACAGTGCTAAAAATAACAGCAAAACGTGTGATTTTGATATTAAATTGCCTGTACCCATCCATTAAAAAGTTATAAAAATAATATTTATACGGTGAAATTTGGTATAACTCGCTTTATTTTCACCTGGGAAATCTCAGATTACTCTTTGTCCTCATATTTTTTACACCCTGTATATACAACAGAAAAAAGTAGAAAACAGTTATAATTAACCATAAAAACATTTTAACATTAGGCTATCTTAGAAACCATTATTAAATTAGAGTAAACTTTTCGTGTCTAAGAACCCAATTTCAAGTCATTTATGATCGTCTCAACTTTACGACGACACTAACTGTCAAAGTTTATTTCAATTTTTGGTCTTTTTTTGCAGATAAATTATCACAAATCATTACACATTATCACTACTTACGC